AGTAACCTACGAATGTCGTCTACTCTTGACGGCCATGACTCGCATCCGTACGTGGAGAACTACCAAAGCCATCATCATCCACGAGATACAAGTATTTATGAACAGCTGTCTTAGCAAAATACTTCGGATTCGTTGGCCAGACACGATCAGCAACAACCTACTGTGTGAGAAAACAAACCAGATTCAAGTGGAGGAGGAAATCAGGAAGAAGTGGTTGAAATGGATAGGACACATACAGTACGATAAACACCTGACTGCGTCACAAGACAAGCCGTCGCTTGGAACCCTCAAGGTAAACGGAAAAGAGGAAGGCCAAGGAACACATTACGCCGAGAAATAGAGAAAGATATGACAAGAATGAACAAAAATTAGACAGAACTAGAAAGGGAAGCCCAGGACAGAGTTAGTTGGAGAAAACTGGTCGGCGGCCTATGCTCCATTGGCGGTAACAGGCGTAAATAAGTAGTAAGTAATGTTTCTAACTACTACTAGTTACGGTTATTTCGCGGATCCTAATCAAATCATTATGGTGAAGAAAATTTTTAGCTCAACTGGATGATGTTTATGATTGTTGTTCCATTCAATCTGAACTGGAGACGACGTTTTAGTTGTGCAGCTTGCTCTTATTCTAAACACCAACAACATCATCATAAACAGCAGCAGCACAAACTTCAAGTAGAAGCAGTGAAGTATTTGAATTTCTCCATGTATGACCCATAGTTTATCCTGTTGACCTCGCTGTTGATATTAATCTAATTTATCAGCCAATCAGAAAAAAAACCATAGACGAACATGGGATCAAGAAACAGATCAAACAAGGGGTTACACAATCAAAATAAATATGGCCAATAACAACTAATCAACATCGAGGTCAACAACAGGATAAGCTATGAGTCACACATACACACATAGAGAGAGAAATTCGAACGCTTCACTTCTACTACTACATGAAGGTTGTGGTGCTGCTGCTGCTTACGATGATGATGTTGGTGTTTAGAAGAAGAAGAAGAATCAAAATGTTGTCCTCAGCTCAGAGAAAAAAAAATCAATAACATAAATTGCTTACTTCAATTCGTCCATATCTAATGGTTCAATTAAGGATGTTTTATTATTAGTTAACCATGGAGAACACCAGAAATAATTTTTACCATAAATTGGTTGAGTATTCGATAATTCCGGTGTTGGACAATAATCTAACGGGACATTGGAACAAAATTGTATATCATCCACAACAATATCTTCACCAGCTTGGAGAGAGAAAACAAAAAGCAGATTGGAACAAAGTGATGAAAAGATTTTCAAAGATATACATAAATATATATTATTCTAGGAACTGTAATTGTAATAAAAAATAAAAGTGTTCGGGGAAGTTAGATCCTCAGAACTCACTTGGAAAAGGTCATAATTTTGGATGTTTTGTGTTTTCGCGCGCACATTGCTTAGTTGACCTTGAGATTACATCTCCCATTCGGAAAATCCTTGACTGTTATTGGCTGGTGGATTATGTTAGTATGCTATTTTTGTGGCTTTCACCAAAGACGTTTGTATCATGCATAAATAAATAAATTCGATTTGTATGCTTGTCAACCTTCTGTTTTCTGGGTGCTTGTAGAATGCACTTTCTACGCCTTATCAAGGCCTCTTTTTCTACTTAGTGGGGCCTTGGGACAATCGGGTTAGAGTAGCCTATAGAGTCGCTGGATTATTTGTCTTCACTCTGGTTTACCGACTAAGGTGAACTCGTAATAGCATTCAAGCATATTAATTGATAAGCATATCAAAAAGACTGAGAAGTCATGACTTGTGTGAAGTTCAACTGTGTCAGATGTGAGGCGGGACAAATGTTACTCACTGATGGAAATGAATGATGGTCATGCTATTTACATCGTACATTGTCCAAAAGTTATTCAGTTAGTCAGTCAACAACAACACGCAACTTCGTACGTAAGTACACTAGTTCAGGCTGCCATACCATATTATCACACAGAGACTCAATTTTCAGTTTAAATGCCATAGTAGTTATGTAGAAGGTTAGGGTTCGAAGGTATTATTCAAGAAGTATAATTCAGTGAGATGAATTTAAAAGGAGGGAAAGGTATAGGTAATGAGGAGTTCAGAAGATTACAAATTAAGAGGACACAACGAGTCGATGCACCTGCGCCATTGCAAACGATTCTGAGCCATGTAGCTTAAGATCTCTAACCATCGGTTAGTATCATCGCACAGATCCCAACCAAGTATTCTGTATCTACCAACATGAGTGAGTCCGAATGTCACTGACTTCATGGATTTGTGCCATGTTTTGGTTTGGCCGCCTCTAGCTTTCTTCCAACCTATTCCTACACCACAAAACATAGCTCGTCGAGGTAGTCGGTGGTTGGGTATTTGTAGCACCTGTCTTAACCACATCAACTGATGAAGTTCCAATACTTCATCTAATGGATTTGATATCCCTACCTACCAAAAGTTAGACATTAACACCAATTGATTTCTACTCAATGGTATAGAAGGGTTAAGCGTTCACGTAAGAGATTAAAAGCCTTGACTTTCGATTTGCATTTGTTGGATCGTGAGTACGCGCTATTGATGAGTCTCATACTAGGATGAAATGATCGTCTAATGTTTCTAAGTTTCCAATGGCAGTCGAACGTTGATCAGTTTATGATTTCGGTGAATTTAAGAAAGGTTTTAAATAAATAGACTCAGTTAAATATGTCTTTTTGATTAGCTAAGTTAACTTTGTTGTTCACACATTCGACTTTCAATTGTTTGGCCTCTGGTTAAGTGTCCAATAAACGAAGCAATATTATTCACTAGTGAAGTATTCGAATTTCTCCACGTTTGACCCGGAGCTTGTTCTGTTAACCTCGATATTGATCGATTGCTGTTGACCTTAAATCAGTCGTTGTTTGATTTATTTGCCTAAACACTCAAACATTGGTAAAAAAAGGGGAAACCCAAAAAATCTATGTTTCACAAAAATCATTGAATTTGTGAATGGGTTGGAATACTGTCCATTTGGTCAAACAGAAACAAGTGGTTTTCCTTAACGATCATAAACCAAGACTTTGATTCAAAAATATAATCCATAAGACACTGGAGCACCGTGCGAGGATGCAATCACACGGTAGTCGGTTGCTACTCAATCTAATCAGAAACCTGGAGCCCATGTACAATATTGATTTACAATCAGGATTTCTCATTACCCTTAAGCAGAACCGGTTAAAGCGACGGACAGTAGTTTTCCATCTTTTCACTTTCGTAAAAAACAACCACGCCACTAGAAGACAGCGAATATAACTTCCTTGAAAGTGGTTATACACACATGGCTATATGAAAGAGAGGATTCTCTTCATTCTCAGTCATGCCATGATTGAGTTAGTGTGAAAGCTAGGGGCGGCCAGATCAAAACATGCACAAATCCATGAAGTCACTGACAAGTGGACTGAGTCATGTTGGTAGATGTAGACTACCTGGTTGGGTATGGCAACATGAACTTATGTACATACATACGAAGTTCTATGTTGCAACTAACTGATTGATTACGAATGCCCAACCACCGACTGCCTTGACGAGCTATATTTTGTGGTTTAGGAGTGTGGTAGGTGAAAGCCTCTGGGTGACAAAACCAAAACACGACAGAAATCCATGAAGTCACTGACAAGTGGACTGAGTCATGTTGGTAGATGCAAACTACCTGATTGGGCTACGCGAGTTGAAAGTCGCCGATGGTTAGAGACTGACTGACTGATTTTTCCAAATCAATCATTTGATTAGCGTTCAAAAATATATTTCAACACACACACACACACACACACACACACACGCAAACTCACTTTCTTCATCTAATGTCACCGAAGGTAATAAATCCAATGGTTGCACCATTAAATGTCCACGACCTGGTATTTGTAATTGACGTATTGATGGATATGGAAAACCTCGTAAATTTGTTAAATAACCCGGTGGTAAACGATGAAATGGTACACCACTTGGGGCATGAATAATTTCATAGAGTACCGATGGTGGTGGTGTATAACGAAGAATTTGATTTGACTGATTGGTATCATTATTACTGTTATCATTAGTGTTATTGTTATTGTGATTGTGATTTATTGATCGTCTATGATGATTATTTTGTGAATGATCACGTGATACATCTATTCTACCATTATTGGATAATGAACTAGCTGATTGTTGAGCTGGTGGATTGCCTAAAGCTTGTAGTGTATTTTCATAGATACGAAGTAAATTAGGATTAAGATTATTATTATTATTGTTAGTATTAGTATTAGTAGTATTATGAGGATCAGGTAACACTTCTCTCCATTCAGCTGTATCTAATTCCCAATGAAGAAACTGTTCATCAACTAATGGTGTCTAGAAAATAAAATAAAATATAATAAAGGAAATGGAATAATAATAATAATAATAATAATGATAATAATAATAATAATGACTAATAAACATATCATTAATTTGAAATGAGAGAGAGAGAGAGATAGATAAAGAGGAAAATTTCAGACAGACAGATACAACGCAGAACTTCGTGCATAAGTACATCAGTTCAAGTTGCCATACCACACATCAGTACAAAGATAAAACTGTCAGTTCAAATCCAAGAGTGATAGTGATAGAAGAATTATTAGCAGTAGTGGAGAAGATTAGGGAGCGAAGAAATGATTCGAGAAGTATAATTCAGTGAGATAAATTTAGAAAGAGAAAGATAGAGATTATGAGGAATTCAAAATGGTAGAATTGAAAGGAACACAAAGAATGAATGCATGTGCGCAATTCCAAGCGATTTTGAGCCATGTCGTTCAACGTCTCTAACCATTGATGACTTTCGTCTCACAGACTACGACCAGGTAGTCTACATCTACCAAAATGACTCAGTCCACTAGTCAGTGACTTCATGGATTTCTGCCATGTTTTGGTCTGGCCGCCCCTAGCTTTCTTCCAACCTATTCCTACACCATAAAACAGAGCTCGTGGAGGCAGTCGGTGGTTAGTCATACGTAACACATGTCCCAACCACCTCAAATGATGAAGTTTCAATGCTTCATCTATTGATCTGCCATCCTTACCTAGTACTCGTTTCCTAACGACAGCATTGCTTACTCGGTTGTCCCACGATACTGGAGCAATACTTCTTAAACATCTATGATCGAATACTAGTAACCTACGATTGTCCTCTACTCTCACTGGCCATGTTTCACATCCATATAGTAGGACAGAGCGAACTGCAGCGCAGTACAGTCGTCCTTTGGTTAACAAGCGGATAACTCGCCTGCGCCATAAGTGACGCAGGTTGGCAAAAGCCAATCGAGCCTTCTGTATGCGGGCTAAGATTTCGTCAGTGCTGGTGGGCTGGTGACTGACGAAATCATTTGAGATAACATTATTACTTTAAAAAGAAATTGCAATCAATAGGAAAAATGTAAGCTTGAGTACGTAATCATTTACTCAATGAACATGTTACTTTGAGATACTACGAAGTTCAGTGGTGTATAACCTGGTTACAAATGGACCGATATAGCTGACAGTGGAGACAGTTTATTTTCTCTCTCCCCTAAAATGGTCTTACATGACCATACTTACATAAACAATGTGAAGGAAATGAAATTGAGACGAGGCAAGGACAGTGTTTGACGCTTTAATCAAATTAATGAATATGAAAGATTCACAAAGGGGAGTGGGAAAATCATAGGGGCGGCCAAACCAAAACATGACACAAATCCATGAAGCCATTGACAAGTGGACTGAGACATTTTGGTAAGTGTAGACTATCTTGTTGGGGTTCACCAGATGATAGACACCTTGAACGACATATCTTACAATCGTTTGCAATGGTGCAGGTGCATACATTGTTTGTATTCTCAAAAAATTCTAATCTTCTGAATTGTTCATGTAGTTAATCTTTCACTTCTTAAATTAGATTCACCAGATTATACTCCTCGAATAACATCTTCTAACATTAATTTTCTCCGATTACTGCTCATACTTCTACTACTACTACTTCCATCTCTCTGTACTAATGTATGGCCGATCGAAGCTGCTACCTTGACGTAGTGGTCGGGCTTGCCTATCGTGATGACCCAACCGAGCTATACTGGCTGGAAAATATGTTACTGAAGGTTCTACCACGCCAGACAGGTCGATTGGAGAACGATGAGACTAAAAGTAGCTACTCCAGGTCTGAGGGAGAAGTCATACTACTGACTGCAGAAGACTGTGACAGCAGTAAGGTGTTTCCCTCGGACAACCAGCATCTGCAGTGATGCTGCCTTCTCACAAGGAAGGAAGGGTTAGAAAAGGTCGGCCCTAAAAATGTCACACCTCCCCTACCTCACGGATTTCCGTCTCCTTGGGTAAGGGTGCCCACTAAGGGCCTTTAAGAACGGAGCTAATCCTCAAACAACGTCTCATAAAAAGGCCGTGCGTGACCGGCCTCAAGCAGTTGTCCCTTGGACCCTATATTGTACTATATAGAAAAAAATATCTGTCAACAAATCAACAACATGAATAAATAGTACAGTGCTCATTGATTTTGGTAAAACGATGAACAAGAAAAAAAGCAAGAAACGTGTTATAATTCTCTCTCTTATTACAACCCAGCTATTCCTAATGCTTAGTATTCTCGGACACACGAGACGTTCTCCCAAAATCAGAACACGGTTGAACAGGAAGTAGAGATTATATTCCAATAACAAGGTTACATAGAAGACAGAGAAGTACAAAACGTTAGTATATTTATAGTTTTCTTACATGAGAAGATTCTAGAATGTTCCTCCTAGCATCGACTAGCTCTGATTGGTTATGAAAGAGCCAATCAGCGTGCAACAACACAATCGTGCTTTAATCTAATCTATGTCTCACTAATAAAATGCCAAAAAAACTAACGAATGATTAATCTAGTTCACATAATTTTTGATTATGCGGAAAAAAAAATAGATTTTGAATAAACTATCAAACTATCATTTTCTAGTTTGTTTGGATTATCTCTAGGAATTTTTCATAGACTGGTAACAGCTGACTAATACAAATTCATAATGGCCTTATATTGTCTTAGTCAGTAATTAACAAGATAGAACTTCGTAAATACGTACGTACATCAGTTCAAGTTGACTTACAACACATTAGCACATATAAGAAATTCTCAATTGAAATCGGATAGTGGTATATGTAGTAGAAGTGTTAGTGATAATCAAAGAGATTACGGTTCGAAGATATTATAATCCAGTGAAATAAATTTGAAAAAAGTAAGATAAAGGTCATGAGGAATTGAGAAGATTAAGATTTGAGAGAACATTAAGAGTGGATACATCTGTGCTATGGCAGATGATTTTAAGCAATGTCATTTATAGTCTCTAACCATCGATTACTATTGTCTCACGGATACTAACCAGGTAGTCTACATCTGCCAACATGTCTCAGTCCTCTTGTTACTGTTACGCCTGCACGTAAACACGTCATTTTGATAGGCTAGAACTATTACGAGTTTACCTAGTCGAAAAACGAGAACGAGGGTCGAGGATCCGGTGACACGACATGTTAATCTAATCCGATTAACCAAACCCCCATATTGAGTAAAAATAAGAAGACTTGATATGAAGTAGAACATGTATTATACAAGCATCCAAAAAGTATGAGGTCCGAGTCCAGAAGAGAATCAGGATCCCGGACTAGGGATCCGGGACCGAGTCCTGGTCATAAAACGTTACAGATAATGCGTATTTATACATTTTGTTCGAATAGGAAACAGCATCGAAGTCTGTGACATTGACAGTTAAGACGACCAATAGGAAGCAACATTTGAAGTGACTTTGATAGTCAGGACAACCAATAAGAAACAACATTAGAGCACGTGACATTGATATCTACTAGGACGATCATAAAATTGACCAGTAGGAACTAACACCAATAGGAATTGACCAATAATTCTCTTAGGCTATTGGATGAATATCCTAAAAGTTACTCATTTCATAGATTCGTGCCATGTTTTGATTTGGCCGCCCCCTAGCTTTTCTTCCAACCCGATTTCTTCACCTTATTATATAATTTATCATCATTGAATAATCAAACAAACATACAAACAAACACGAACAAAAAGGCCTAAACAATATTTCAACATTGAATAGTCTTACTTGAACAGTGTTGTATTTACATGATGAATCAGTTGGTTCTTCTTCTGTTGGTGAAAATAATGACATAACACCACTTTTAGTAACAACAAGAAATCCGACACCTTCAATGGTAGGCAGTACACGACAAGCAGTTATTCGTTGTACTTTTGTATTGGACATTGAACCTGTTCTAGTAGTAGTATTGGTAGCAGTAGCAGTAGTATTAGTAGTATTCAATAAAGAACGAGATCCTGTCAATGAACGATGATGAGATGATGTATGATTACTATGATTGTTAATACTATTGTTAGTAATAAAAGTAGTATTTTCAGTTTGTGAATCAATGGGAGCATGATATGACGGATCCAATACACCAAATTGTTGACCATCACGAGTAGTAGTAGTAGTTCTACGATGTAATGTAGTTGTTGTATTTACACCAGACCATATTGGTTGATCATCTGGAGGATTGTCAAAACGCCATACTAATCCTTGGATAATGTCTAAATCACCAGGAGGAAATCGATAATGAAATAATAAAGGCTTGTCAATCAATAGATGACTATCTTCATCAGAATGCTGTTGTTGTTGTTGAAAACGTCTAAGATTGGAAATATTCCATAATTGAAAACGACCATCAACTCCGCCTGTAGCTAAAATATTCTCATCGAATGGTGATGGTGAGACAGCGTGAATTGCACCTTCATGTCCCTTGATTTTTTATGAAATAAAAAAAAATAGAGCATAGAATATTTGAACTATTTAAGTTTGAATAAAGTAGTCAAAATCAATCTATCGGAGTTTTTTTTCCGGTTATGTAGATTAAAATCTTTAGATAGTTAAAATAGATTATGTCTAGTATGCTAACGGGGGGGCGGGGAAGTTGAGATGAGTTGATAAATGTCAGTCCTGTACAGCTTTCTATAATACCATAGCTGCATGTCGCAAACGCACCATTATTCTACATGTTCTATCCAGTCATAGCGTTAGGAATTGATCAAAAATGTGCAAGCCGTTAGAATGATATATTTGTGAAACTTGTTCAAGTTATTCAATGAAGTTGATGTTCTGTAATGGTGACGCTAATCAAACATACATTTCTAAATTTCAGCAATAATCTCTTCAAGTATTGCTAGTAGATATCAGAAAAATACTTCAGGAACAACAATGATCAGATAAAAGGTCATTGGAAATCTTTATTAAGGTGTAACTCCATTGATGCGTCGTAAACCAGAAGTGTTTACGACCAGATCAACATTAAAACAGTACTAAAAAAATGACACATGTTAATAGGAAACCACTACAGCTTTTATACCATGGTGTAGAGATACATTTCATACCATGTTTTATTTAAGATAACAAACAAGAAAATTTCTGAAATCTCCAGTTCACTATATATACATATACAAAAGAAAATACTTTCACTAAGCATGAGAAACTTGTTTGCGCTACTGTAACGCATGCGCGTGACCGCGTCATTTGATATGCTTGAACTACTGTGAGTTCACCTTAGTCAGTAAACAAGAGCGAGACAATGATACAGTAACACAATAGGCTACTCTAATCCGTTTGTCCCAAACCCACATTGAGCAAAAGAAGCAGACTTGATATGAAGTAGAATAACATGTATTCTACAAGCATCCAGAAAGCACGAGGTCCGAGTTATGTTCGTCACTAGTTATGCTTGAAGCTATTACGAGTTTACCTTAGTCGATAAACGCGAATGAGACAATTACCAGCGTCCAGGTCGGCTATCTTAAATCCCAAACTGCAAAACAGAAGACTTAGTAAGCGTAGAAAGTATATTCTACAAACACCCAGTAAGCACAATACATTCAAGCACACAACTCTCGTTTATTTACACATCATAGAAACGTCCTTGGGACAGCTACGAAAATAGCACACTAATAAAATACACAGCAGCCAATCACAGCCATGGATTTTCCCAGTGAGAAATGAAATCTCAGGGTCAACTGATCAACCCATGCTCGCAAACGTGAAATGCAAAATAAGGCATTTATCAAGCGAGTTCTGGGGATCTAACATCCCCAAAAGAAGAGAATCATGATCTCGGACTAGGGATCCGGGTCCGGATGATAAAACTTCACAGATAATGCATATTTATACAGTTAGGTCGAATAGGAAACAAAATCTCAACTATATGACATTGATAGTTAGGACGACCAATAGGAATTAATCAATATGAATTGACCAGTAGAATTAGACTTACAAATAATTCTCTTAGGCTATTATTATTGGATGAATACCTTAACAGCTACACAGAGTAACCCCTTAAATTGTATAGATCAATGATTCGGGGAATAAAAAACACTGGACAAAACATTTGGCCATAAATAAAGATTAGCTAAGACCAAGTACCTTAAATAATGAATAGATATCCATAACTGAAAAAATTTCTTCTATTCAAATTCAACGGAATACTGGATTTCCGTCAAGAACAAAAAAGAACAGGTAAATCTTTCAACTTACTTCAATGATAGTAACCAATTGTCCACTATGACCAAAATACACATAAACAGATCCATTCTTCATGGAAGCAATTAAATATTGATCGTGTATTGACCAAACTAAAAGACAAGGTCGACATTTCACCCTGAAATAATTTTTTAAAAAAAACAGAAAACAGATACAGAATAAAAATCTATGTACAATCTAGAATAGTATATATATATATATATATATATATATATATATATATAAACATAAGAATTCATTTTATTTCACAAACTGTTTTGCCAATATATAACTATGTCCGCTCGTTGAATTTGAATATGCCGATGACATATTAGTGTTTGATGAGGATGCTGACAAACTGCAGAGCCAGTTGACCAGCCTAAGCAATAATGCAAACATGTTCAAGGTGTGATTCTGCCCGTCGAAGTTGTAACATGTTGTGATATTCGAACCCAGGACCTTCTGTTCGAATCCTGCGGGGTGCAGGAGTCGTGGATGCGCACTCCCACCGAGGAGTCCCATGCCAGAACGAAACGGCCGTCCAGTTCTTCCAGGTTTCTAATGGTGATCTAACAGTGATCGATTCATGGTTTCAAAAATATGTAACTTAACAATCTTTACAATCCCGTAATGTAAAATTCAAAATGTTGCTTCAAATTTGGCTTGCGTCAGCACCTGAACTAGTGATAGGTGGTGAAGAAATTGAGCGTGTCGACCACTTCACTTATCTTGGGAATCTCATCAGTGCTGAAGACCTGGTGCGTGACGAAATCTCAGCACAGATAAAGAAGGCTCGAGTGGTTTCTGCCAACTTTCGTCACTTATGACGTAGGCGAGATATCTGTTTGCTAACCAAAGGACGAGTCTATTGCACAGCATTTCGCCACTTCATACTATATGGATGCGGAACATGGCCATTAAGAGTAGATATTCGTAGCTTACTGGTTTTCGATCATCAGTGTTTTCGGAGCACTGCTCATATATCCTGAGACCAACGAGTAAGCAAAGCTAGTGTTATGAAAACGTACGAAGTTCTACGTTTCTGTTGACTGACTGACTGATTGACCGGAAGTCTGTTTATCATACTTGGCCTCAAGAACACACACAAAAAGCAACAACAAAAACAACTTGACCATGTTTGGTATGGCGCTTGAAAATTAAAAACAAAACGGTAGTATTGATTTACTATACTACTTACTAATGGATTCAATGTTAATATTTATTTGATTAGATTATACTCCTAGAATGATAAATATATCTTCAAACCGTAATCTTTCCGATTACGGCTCATACTTCTACTACATCTAGCACTGTGGGATTTGACAGACAGACAGATACAACGCAAAACTTTGTACGTAAGTACTTACATCAGTTCAGATTGCCATACCACATTACCACAGAGGCGTAACTGTCAGTTCGAATCCCGTAGAGGTAGCGATAGTAGAAATATTAGCAGTAATGAAGAATATTAGGGTTCGAAGATATGATTCGAGAATTATAATTCAGTGAGATAAGTTTGGAAAGTGAAAGATAGAGATGATGACGAATTCAGAAGGTTAGAATTTGAGAGAACATAATGAATGGATGCACTTGCGCCATTCCAAGCGATTTTGAGTCATGTCCTTCAAGGCCTCTAATCATCGGTGACTTTCGTCTCGCGGACCCTAACCAGGTAGTCGACATCTACCAACATGACTCAGTACACTTGTTAGTGCTTTCATGGATTTCTGCCAAGTTTTGTTTTGGCCGTTCCTACCTATTTCAATGGACAATCTGATCTCTGTGTATGCTAATATGTGGGTATGGCAACTTAAACACTGATATATGTGAGTCAGTCAATAACATAGAACTTCGTACGTACTTACGTACATCAGTTCAAGTTACCGTATCATATCAGCACAGAGATGCAACTGTCACTTCAAATCGCAAAGTAGTAGAGGTAGTAGAAGTAGTAGCAATAATCAGAGAGACTAGGGTTCGACAATATTATTCAAAAAATAGAATCTAGTGAAATAAACTTAAAAAGAAAAAGATAAAGGTAATGAGGAACTCTGAAGGTTAGAAAATAATTCAAACCAAATAAACTCTACTCTGGGAGTTAGAAGGTCTGCATTTAGAAGAGTTATGACGTCGCATGATGGAAGACGACTTCTTTCGGAAGTCACGATGCCGATGCCCCTTCTCTGACAACCAGAACCCTTCCATGGTGTGGGCAACCAGGAAGTAACATCCGCCCTCATTTCTATAAAAGCACATGAGACCAAGTCAGTCAGAATCAAGTTGTTTCTACACCTCCTAATAACTCTTTTATCTCTGAGACTGATGTACATACGAACACGTACGAAGTTCTATGTTGCAGCTAGCTGGCTAATTGATTCATATTAAGTTAAAACACATCATGATGATGTTGAAATTGAAGTCAAACTAGAAAGCATTATAATAATTGAACGAACAATGAAAAATAATTAACAATCAATAGAAGAGAAAAAAAATATAGGGCGGGGGGGGGTATTTCAAAGTGTACCTTTTACGAAATGTTAATGTCATACTTCTCCATTGACCTGCTTGATATTTCCATAGCCAACAACTTCCACCATCTGAACTGCCAGTGGCTAATTTCAATCCACAATGACTGAATGCTACACTATTGACACTTTCCTAAAATTTTTGTTTTCAAAGTGTAATTTTTGGATTTAATTTTCGAAAAAAATAATCAAGCAATAAATAGATTCATTAAAACAAAAGAAACAAAAAACAACGACAAAAATATGAAAGAGAAAAAACAATTGTTTATTGATTCTTTCAATGAATTAATTAAACTCAATCATTACGTTTTTTTTTTGATCAAGTTAGACATATTAACACCGTTAGATACCACCGGCTCAGTGGTCCGATGATTAGGCGTTCGCCTACAATACCGAAGGTCCTGGCTCCACGAATCCTGCGGGGTGCAGGAGTTGTGGATGCGCACTGCCACTGGGGAGTTCCATACCAGGACGAAACGGTTGTCTTTCAGTGCTTCCAGGTTTCTAATGGTGGTGGTCTAACAATGATCGATTCATGGTTTCAAAATGTGTAACTTAACAATTTTCACAACCGCGTAATGTCAGTCATTATGACCAATTTCAATCGATGCAGTCCTGATACGGCTTAAGCTGGGAGGGGGGTAGGCGGGGAAAAAGACTTCGCTCCTATATTCTATTGTTGCAATGCTCTCATATAACCACCACCTTCATCGTCCAAAATGACGGAAAAGAGGGAAGAACAACAGGCGACTACACAAAATTAGTGAATACGGAAGATTCAGACGGAAAGAATGAAGCATAAACGTATTTATGATCGCTGATTATCATAGGATGGAATATCGTGAAGTTGTTCCGCTAACTTATGAATTAGACCTGTAGGTCACACAGGCTCTGAGAGCGATCCCTTAACGTGCTATGAAATGAATGTCATATTCATCATATCGAACATCAGGTTTTGTCGTTACAGATGCAATATGGCAGTTAATCACTGTTGTGAAACGTTTTTGAATTTAAAAAATATCTTTTAATGAATTTATAGCCTCTTTTGCCTGGTGATCTAATGGATTATGAAGACGTCAACATCTGGGAGGACACACGGGATACAGTCGACAGCTGGACGATCTATGCTTCGCAGATGATCTGGCTCTTCTATCCCACATGCAACAACAAATGCAGGATAAGACGACTAGTGTAGCAGTAGCCTCAGCTTCTTTCGGTCTCAATATACACTAAGGAAAAAGCGAGATTCTCCGATACAACACAACATACGCTAACCAAACCATACTTCATGGAGAAACTTTGGAAAATGTAAAAACGTCTACGTATCTAGGGAGCCTCATTGATGAACAACATGGATCTGATGCGAATGTGAAGGCACAGGTCGGTAAAGCAAGGACAATATTTCTACAACTAAAGAACATCTGGAACTCAAAAAAAAACTATCAACCGATACCAAAGACACAATTTTCAACACAAATGTTAAGACATTCCCATAGTATGGGGCGGAAACTTGGAGAACTACCAAAGCTATCATCCAGAAGATGCAAGTGTTTATTAACAGTTGTCTACGCAAAATACTTAGGATTCGTCGTGGGGGCAAAGTCAACAACAACCTTTGGGAGTGAACAAACCAAATTCCAGCAGAGGAAGAAATTAGGATAAAGCACTAGAGGTGGATAGGACACATTGTGGAAATCACCCAACGGCGTCACAAGGCAGGCTCTGACTTGGAATTCTCAACTCCAAAGGAAAAAAGGAAGACCATAGAACTCGTTTGTTAAGTTCGTCACTAGGTACGCTTGAAGCTATTACGAGTTTACCTTAATCGGTAAACACGAACGAGACAATTACCAGCGTCCAGGTCGGCTACATTGATCCCAAACTGCAAAACAGAAGCCTTGATAAGCGTAGGAAGTATATTCTACAACATCCAGCAAGTACAATGCAGTCAAGCACACAACTCTCGTTTATTTATGCATCACAGAAACGTCCCTGGGACAGTTACGAAAAAATCACACTAAAATACACAGCAGCTAATCACAGCCAAGGATTTCCTGGTAGGAAATGAAATATCAAGGTCGACTGATCAGCCCATGCTCGCAAACGGGAAATCCAGGACAAGGCGTTAATCAATCGAGTTCTGGGGATCTAACATCCCCAACAGCATTACGCCGAGAAACAGAGGCAGACATGAGAAGAATAAACAACAATTGGACAGAACTAGATAGGAGGGCCCTGAACAGAGTGGGTTGGAGAATGCTAGTCAGCGGCTTGTGAGTAAGTACATGTCAAATGGTAATATAACAAGAATAGTAATAATTAGAATCATCCTTGACAACTTAGATCATTATTATTATTATGTTGCATGGTAGGGTTCTGGAGATTGTTGGGTAACGTTTAAAAATCATGAATCGATCAATGTTAGAACAACATTAGGAACCTGAGAGTACTGAACGACCGTTTTGTCGTGGTATGGGACTCATCGCCGAAGACGGTGGATTGATCGAAGTTAGATACCGTTAGATAACGGCTAAGCGGTTCAGAGTTTAGGTGTTTGTGTGCAAGACCGAAGGTCCTGAGTTCGAATCCAGAGAGTAACAGGAGTCATCGATGCGTACTGATGATGGGTCTCATACCAAGATGAAATGGCCGTCTAATGCTTCCAGGGTCCTAACGGCGGTATAACATTGATCGATTCATGATTTCAAAAAGTAATTCAACAATCCGCACAACGTTATTATGCACACTATCATGTGCTCACTAGTTACTGACTCTGTGAGGAAGTTTCTCAGAGTTCTAGTGAGAAGTCATGACCAGTGGAGTTAAACCCTGTTCAGATGTGAGGTAGTGCTCACCGAAGACAATGGATGAGGTTACGTAAGACCGTGGATTATTATTATTACTATCATTACAATGTTCACAAATAAAGTTTACATGTTTGTTGAAGAAGTCAAAAGCAGCGAATGAAACCACATTAAGATTGATTGAATATTTCAAATTTACTTACTTCATGAGCAGCTAATACACTGGCTAGTTGAGGTTTAAGTGGATTCATGAATTGATACAAACGAATACGTTGATCGGAACAACCGGCTGCAACTAAAAGTCCACCTAAATGAATAATCAATAAATAAATTGTATAAAGTAGAGAATTCTGAAAAAAAATTTTTTATAAACAATGAATATAGACTTAAAGTAAGTAGATATAAGGAAAGGAAAGGCTCAGAATCGTTTGTAATGGCGAAGATACATCCACTAGTTGTGTTCTCTCTAATTCTAACTTTCTGAATTCCTCACCTATGACACAGGCGAGATATCCGCTTGTTAACCAAAGAACGAGTGTACCGTGCAGCAGCTCGCTCCATCCTACTATACGGATGCGAAACATGGCCGTTAAGGGTAGAGGACTTTCGTAGGTTACTAGTCTTCAATCATAGGTGTATCCGAAGCATTGCTCGTGTATCCTGGGACAACCGTATAAACAATGCTGTCGTTAGGAAACGAGTTCTAGGTAAGGATGGCAAATGAATAGATGAAGCATTGAAACTGCATCAGTTGAGGTGGTTGGGACATGTGCTGCGTATGCCTAACCACCGACTGCCACGACGAGCTGTTTCGTGATGTAGGAGTAGGTTGGAAGAAAGCTAGGGGCGGCCAACCAAAACGTGGCAGAAATGCATGGAGTCACTGACAAGTGTACTGTGTTATGTTGGTAGATGTGGGCTACCTGGTTGGGGTCGGCGAGACAATCACAGAGGAGTCAGTCTGACAAATATAGTGTCCAAAATGTTAGCCTCGATAATACTTAGACGCCTAGCTAGAGCTTGTGAAGAACAGACTCGAGAAAATCAGGATGGTTTTCAGACCTGGATGTGGATGTAAAGACTGAATATTTACAGCTCGTCAAGTCCTAGGATACATACACACCTTGAGACATCTCGCAATAGCTGTACTTCTCGACCTTAATAAAGATACACGCGGTAAAACCAAAACATAGCACATATTCATGAAGTCACTGACAAGTGAGCTGAGACGTGTCGGTAGTTGTCGACTACCTGGTTGGTGTCGGCAAGATGGTAAGAGACCTTGAATGACATGACTCAAAATCGTTTTCAATTGTGCATGTGAATCATTCGAACCCTAATCTCTCCGACTACTGCTAATACTTTTACTACATCTACTACAATGGGATTTTAATTGAAAATTTCAGATCTGTGCTAATGTAGTATGGCAACTTGAACACTGATGTACACGTACGTACGTACGTACGAAGATGTGTGTTATGAATGACTGACTGAATATCCACTTTTATATAATGAGGATATTTGGAGTAAGACAAGATATATATTTAAGGTTGCTGAAGAATTTGAACGTTACATTTCAAGTGATCAACTTACCAGGACTAATATCAATACATGTAATAGATGGCCAAAATACATTCGGTGTACCTTCAGGAGCTGTGGTAAAACGAATTGTCGGTAGAAGTTGAACAGAACAACAAATCCATCGATTTTCAGTACTATTAGCCATATTATTGAATTCATGATTTCTACATTGAGTATTATGTATAGTATGAATATAAGGTATGATGTGAAGATAACCACCAAAAGATGATACTATAAGCATACCAGATGGATGATGAATATCATTGGAATTCGATGTAACTGTGTGTGGAGAGAGAGAGAGAGGGAGGTAGAAAAATAGAAGCAAAAAGAAATTTCATTCAATGATCCTTAATAAACTTTACTGGGTTACTTATCTAATTACTTACTTACTTGAGCATGTTACCCCCAATGGAGTATAGGCCAACGCCACCGACCAGTATTCACCAGTTTACACTCTGTTCTGGACCTTCCTTTCCAGTTTCATTCAATTTTTGTTCAAAACTTTACATGGTAGGCAGTTGTACTTAATTATTTAAATTGTTAACAACATGTAACTCTACAGCATAATCATAACTGAATTTTTTTTAGCTCAATAGTTCATAGAGGCTTATATCATCCTATTTAGGAGGGATTTAATTTTGACCAATTTGGTCTCGTGTGCTGTTACGAGTATGAGGGCGGTTGTCACTTCCCAGCTGCCCACACCATGGAAGGGTGTTTCATGAGGAGCCTGAAAAGGAAGGTAGATTAGTGTCGGTCTTAGAGATCTGAGAGCGTGATCGCAAAGCCCAAGGGATAACTGCTTGAGCCCGGTCACGCACGGCCTTTTTATGACAGGTTTTTCGAGTATTAGCTCCACTCTTTTTAAAGCAACTTTTAAAGAGCCAAAAAAAATGTTGTGTTTTTTAAAAATCCTATGTTGATCAGTAAATATGAATAAAGTTTATCGAAATATCAGTAAAACAAGTTTAGTTTGTAGCAGGCACATTAGATGCTTCAGACTGACATTGTCGATTACCTGGTTGGGGTCAGCGAGATGATAATAATCGATGGTTAGAGACCTTGAATGACATGGTTCAAAATCGTTCGCAATGGCGCCGGTGCATTTATTCTTTGTGTTCTCTCAAATCCTAATCTTCTGGATTCTTCAACACCTCTAGTTTTGACTTTCTAAACTTTTCTCACTGAATCATACTTCTTGAATAGTATCTTCTAATCCTAACCTCTCCGATTACTTCCAAAACCTCTACTATCTCTACTACTATTGGATTTGAATTGACAATTATATCTCTGTGGTGATGTGTTATGGCAACATGAACTGATGTACTTACGTACGAAGTTCTACGTTGCACCTGACTGACTGACTTTAATTGATAAATTGCAATCAAGTCAAAATTTCTGTGAATCACTTAAACACAAGTGGTTTATGGGAAACGATGATTGAATCTTTAGAAACTAAAATCATGAGTTGTAATTATCACACATGGACAACATACATCTCTTCCAGAATATGATATATTTATAATGAATAATAAACTAAATCTTGATTAACGAAGCACGATGTCCAACTGAACATAATATTTAAATATTCCAAGTTCCAAAATGTAAGTACAAGTTTTAAGAGTCGCATGACCTAAATGAATTAACTAGCAACGTTAGAAATGGTCATAGAATAAAAATGGATGCACTAAGAAAACATTAATGTTGATTACAAAACAGTACATGGTACACTACATATTTCTGGCACCATTTCTGTGACACGATTGAAACTATCATTCCTACTAATGAAATTTTAATTTATTATTCAATACAATCACACAAACTGCATGATAACATGTAAGTGTGGTGCGCGCTACTTATAAGTAGTATATGACGTGAGTGCAAACGTAATGTCTGGCAGCAGAAGATGGGGGAAGATCAAGAAAGGAAGAAGAGTGGGAACACAATGGAATTTGTATGAAACGCATGAATAGTGAAATGTCAGACAATGGATTGAAGATTTGCAAATTAACCGTTTACGATATGGTTTTCCTATTTTACTGAGTAACTCTGTAATTTGCGATAAATATAATTCGGTTGCCCTCACCTGTGTTCACCTTCACTACATAAGGAATCACAAAAAAAACTTGTGAATGAGGACAGGCTTTTTCTAGTCCAGTAAAAGTACTTTGCATTTAGAATGTGCAAAGTATGTGCTATAAATTTGAACACTTGACAACTGACGAAGCGAGGTTAGGATAGATTATATGTATGGTTTCAAGGTTAGAAAGTGTCATCCACGTGCTGAAGATTGATGTGTCTGTCACTTACTTCCTTTAGAGATGTTCTCAGAAGGTTAGGCAGGAGAAGAGAGTTTGGTCGGTCTCACCAAATATTATTGATAGATTGAGACAAATCAGATGTGGTAGTACGTTCATACTTAACCTAATGTATTTGTATAAAGAACCTTTAGGATAATGGTACACTTCTCACGAACTTTTCTTTGACACAACCCCTAATTATAGCCCTGTTTAACCAACCCAATGTGACCCGTACTAAAGACGACTGTCGGCTAGTAATCATCTCGTGGTGCTCTAGCTCCAACAGGGTAAAGGGATAGTCAATGCGTACCCAACCTGAATAAAAAAATAAATCTTCTATTTCACGGGTAAGGCGGAAGGAAATAAATTGGAAGGGCTAGAAAAACGACTTGCACTCTAATAACCGTCAAACGAAACGTGTGCTTTTTCAAAAGATGAGGATGACAATCGATTTATTTAAAAATGATAGGGAAGTAGTAATTTCTCGTCTTTCCAAGCAACCTAGTCAGTTACCTAACTATAAGTTATGTAGATGCATTGTTATTGGTCAGTAAGAATACGATGGTTTGATTGACATTTTCAGACAAACAGATCAATTTAGCATCGCTTACAATAAATGTCTATTGTCAGAAATCCATTTGGCTGTTGCTAGCCAGCGTTCGGTCAAAATAACAAATTGTTCCACCGGCACGAGATCGTATGTTGCTATTAGCCACAATACCAGAAATAAATGCTTGTTAACACGCTATAACCATCAGGCTTTTCTTCATTCCTAACAAAAACCTTGTGAAATTTCCTGACACAAGAGTGGAAGTTTATGATCAAAATATGGTTTGTCGTAATAGAGGTATGCTTCTTAGACTTGTAAGGATCCCTCAGTAACCAAGCGCTTAAAAGCAGAAGGCATATGAATGGAGTTAAGAAAATTCAGTCAATTTTCCGTTTAAACACTTTGGTGGATCCGTAGTTAGCCTTGAACTTAACTTGGTTTGATACTTGGCCAAAGCAGAAGCTCGGATCAATTCGCTTGCAGTAATTCATTAACGGCCAGGATACCGTTAACCGAAACAGGACAGAATGGATATACCAGCCAAACTCCAACATCAATACCATTCATTATTTTTAGCATAATTATCTACCCTGATGTCGACAACCAACCAGCATTCTAATCAATCTCTGATCTATTTCGTTTTTTGTCTTTAGTACACTATTGCTTCCATTGCATATTCAGATTGAGTGGGGCGTCTTTCATGTTCATTTGCTGAAAGATTGGGTTTCCTGCAAGTGTACTTTTAAAATCATAAACCAGTTTTCTTCGTTTTAATCAGTGACCAATGTGACAACAGACAAAACCTGTATGTTTTATCAAAAACTGTTAACAAATGGTTATTTTCATTCACAAAAAAACGAATACAAGGCTGGTTGTCATACAGTCTGATATAAAAAGTTAACATTCTGAAATGAAATATGCACTTATAGGCGATTGACAAATGTTTACCTTTGTTCATTGACCAGGTTGTTTCAGGTAAATTGAGGAAACCAAGACCAGACAACACTCGATTATTACGTGATCCACGAACAGCTACTACCGGCTGTCCAGTTTTTAAGCACCATATTACCAGACAGCAGTTTGAATCTATCGATGCGAGTAGGTGATTATCAATAGATATAGTTAACTCAATTATTTCAGCAACATGACCTCGAAGAGTATGACGTAGAGTACATGATGGTGTACTTGATCCTTTCACAGACCACACTTTAATAGTGTAGTCATCAGACCCCTAAATTAATGGGACATTGAGATAAGAGTTAAAATGCTTCTTCAACAATTAAACATTATACAATACAACAACCACACGAACAAGTACATAATAAACACTGAAAAACTAGTCAAACTGGTTTCATACAAGGCTGATGGTGAAAAGACATACAAAACAAAGCAGTGTCTGTAGTCATGTTTTTTTTCTTTATCTGAGTTATAACAATGATAACGATTAATTTGCAAAACTCAACCAAAAAGATTGCCGCCGCGAAAATATTGCACCATCAGTTGATGAATTTAGTGAATGATACAACATCTCAGTCCGAAAGCCACTAGTGTTTGTTTGACGCAATTTCCGACAGTCTTAAATGTATTGAGAAGTGCTGTGGTTTTGTTAAGGAAAAAGTACATACACTAGAATATTTGTGATCGCAACGAACTAATGCTAAATTCTACTAAGAGTTCGGCTTATTTTCAAATTGTTCAATATTTTTAGCACTTACGGAAACTTTTGAATAGACTGAAGAATTCAACTTTGTAAGCATTGAAATATGAATAAAATTATTTGATATACTACGACGTATTATGCAACTCGTGTTAGGTGACTGTGTAAAGTTGAGCAATATAAAAACAACACGAAGATTGGGTCAATGTTATTGATATAAATAAATAAAATTCTAAGTATTCTGTTCAAAACTGATCATTATTAATAGCAATCAAAATAGTGAAAGCTGTATGTTTAAAAACAACTGACAAAACCAATGAAGTTAGCATATCGAACAAACCCAATCACACTCATGCAAGAGCTAAAAATTGTTAGACCTACTGTGAATACATAATTTCCACGCTTATCAAACTCCAAACAGTAAATTGCTGTACGGTGAGCAAGAATGTGAAACTGTAATTTTGAGCGCTGGTGCAAGTGACTCAACAAAGATTTCCTTGTCTTCTTGTGATCTTTCGAGATATGAAAATCTAAAGGTACATAAGACGAGTATCCACAAAGCCCACCTATACATCTTGTACTAAATGCTTTTTCTACTTTATCTATGAGAGAATATTTAAAAATGATGTAGGTTACTTTGAATTCCTATTAGGGTTTTTAAATGCGAAGCACATCTATTATTATCATGCACCAGCTTCACTAAACGCTGATAGTATTCAACCAAAACAGATGGTCTGCTCAGATTATGAAGGCTATCCTAAAATAATAATGGTTATATTTAAAAATATTACAAACATAATTTTCAAATGTGTTGTCAAACGGGACACCGACAGTGTTTATACGAGCAGGCAACAACTAAACAGTATAAGTAAAACACAGACCTACCTTTTTCTCGTCAATGAATCTTTTCAAAGACTAAAATGATAAATATTTAGGAGTGAGACAGTATTTACCTCAGCAGCAGTAACACATCCCTCATCTTCTAACAGCTTTACTATCAAGAAAAAAACCTCTGTAAAAATTAATTAATAGCATTGAAGACAAACCGGCTTTGATGTCCATTACGTGTGATCCTCAGTATCATAAAACAAAGTACTTCATGAACAAGATACCAAACATTCTCATCCTTTGAGACGGCCTTGACAATATTTCCGCGAGAAACCTTCACTGTCCAATGGATTACAGATTGTGCTAAATATGCTTGTCTTTTTATTACGAGTGCATGAATGATGCTTTTAAATAGAAACGTGAACATATGGTTCAAATAAAAATAAAATTTTTCAATAAGGTATCGACCACCTACCAAAAGTATTGTTGTGCTGATCCTTGAAGCTAGATTATTAAAATAAAATGACTTGAAAATGCACACAAGAACAGTATAATATTAAATCACGCTTATGAGCGTGGGTAATTTTAAAAGTCATGGTGATTCCCTGGTTGCAGACAGACTAATGCATAAGTCAAATGACGCCATCCTGTCCTTGAAATTCATCTTTACATTTCAGTATTCGGACAGTAATATGCTCTCCAGGAACCTATAAGTAAATAGGATGGGATCCAGACTGCTGGAGGTGTCTGGGTTCAGCAGAAAGTTTTAATGATAGTTCGTTCGATGGGCCAGGTGGTTTAATCAAATAGGTATAACAAGCTATTTTTGTATCACACCCTTTCGGTATTGATCTTAATTGAGTATTGCTTACCTTTTTCCGAACGTTAAATAGTACTTTTAATTGCATCCCCTTTATGGCTAGTTTCTGGAAGTGCTGAATGGGGTCGCTCCGATGTTACACCATTGATGACTTAAGCGCAAATTATTGTGAATTCCTTAGCGCTTTTGTATTATTTTCGTCCGAAATCCCAATATTTTACGATCGAGCTACTGTTTGTAATTAGTTTTGTCCAGCAACTCAAGCTTAAATATTCATGGTGGTTGAAAGCGTGTCGTTATTTTGGCAGGTGAGATCGACAACATAAAAAGAATCGATGCATTTGATAGTTTATTTCCAAAATGACGTTCGGCTTTTGTTTTCATCAAATCACTTGTTTTATATGCACTTGACTTAATGAGGTTATTAGTTTCCGAGCTATGAATGATCGGTTTTCGTGAGTGATTTCGTTGTTATCTACGAGTTCTTGAAGGGTGGTAGCCACTGTGAAAAAATTCACTACACAATTTTTTCACTTATATAATGAGTGTGATGAAATGTGACAAGCTTTGTGAATTGTCCAGAATTTTACCTGTAGCATCTCTTACTTTAAAATTCAACTGTGAGAAACGACCAAATACTAGATGGCAGACCAGAGGTGACAGAGTTCCTTTGCAATTGCACCTCACCTAGTCGTTCTAGTAGGCTGATCCTAAAATTGATTTAATAATATCACTAAGATTTAGTATGCTGACACTCATATTTGAAGCTCAAATCTGCAATACTAAAAAAATTGGATGCAATGTCGATCAATATTGTCAGACAATCAGTTGACTTTTACAGCACTAATCAACAAAGCTGAAGTGTGAAATGAATGAATCGTGACAAGTGGATTGAAATAGTATTGGATGAATGTCACTATTAGGTAAAAGGCACGAAAATAGGTTAAATCCACTCGGACGACCATTAGACGGTCAAGCGGGAAAATTGGTCAGGATGGTGGAGATTTCTATTATCTTTATTCGTATCATAACATACATAGGCGCTCTCGAAAGTTACAGCTTATACCAGACGCCTGTTTCATTACACAATATCTCGCAAAATAATCTCTGCAAAACAACTTCTCAGTAACTTCATGTCTATGCATGTGACTGAAGAACTTTGCTGAATACCTACCCCGTTTTTAATCCCAAGTTTAAAATAATTAATTAATTATAACGACGAATACTCCGCCAGTAGACCCTTCGGGGCTACTGCCGGTCCCAAGCCCGGGTAAAGGAGAAGGGTTGGACATGGGGTTGGCGACCCCATTCCGTCGAAAACTAACTTGCCAAAAAAACGCTAACCAGAAAAAATAAATCAAACCATTTTAACTCTGCCCTGGGAGTTGGAAGAAGAATTATGACGTCTCGTGATGAAAGCCGAGTTCCCTCGGAAGTCACGGGGCTGATGCCTCTTCTGACAACCAGAGCAAACATTGTTTTAGGTACATGGAACGTTCGTACATTGTGGGAGACTGGAAGACTATTTCAAGTTGCGGCAGAAATGAAAAGATACAACCTCGAGTTGCTCGGCATCAGTGAAACCCATTGGACACAAGTAGGACAACTGAGACTAGCTTCAAGGGAACTGCTGTTATACTCTGGTCATGAAGAGGAAAATGCTTCACACACACAAGGAGTCGCACTGATGCTGTCCAAACATGCACAAAAGGCACTGATAGGATGGGAATCTCATGGACCTAGGATCATTAAAGCATCGTTCAAAACAAAGAAAGCGGACATTACAATGAACGTCATCCAATGTTATGCACCTACCAACGACTACAATGACGACGATAAAGACCAATTCTACGAAAGGCTGCAGTCAATCGTCGATAAATGTCCACCAAAGGATTTGACGATTCTTATGGGAGACCTGAATGCCAAGGTTGGCATGGACAACACTGGATATGAAGACATCATGGTGTGGTGCTGTGGTGCGAACTACTTATAAGTAGTATATAACGTGAGTGTCAACGTAAAGTCTGGCAGCAGAAGATGGGGGAAGATCAAGTAAGGAAGAGTTAGAAAACAATGGAATTTGTATGAAACGCATGAATAGTGACAATGGATTGATGTTTGGCAACAGGAACAGTCCAGTTCCATAGGATGAACTGATCTTTTGCAAATGAACGATTTACGATATGGATTTCCGATTTTACCGATTAACCCTGTAATTTCGTTAAATACAATCCGGTTGCCCCACCTGTGTTCTCATTCACTACAATGGGACGACATGGACTGGGAGAAAGAAACGAAAATGGTGAGAGATTCGCCAACCTATGTGCCTTCAACAAACTGGTCATCGGTGGCACAATATTCCCGCACAAACGCATACACAAAGCTACATGGATATCACCGGATCACACTACTCAAAACCAGATTGATCATATCTGTATCAACAGAACGTTCAGAAGGACCGTGGAGGATGTGAGAACCAAGAGAGGAGCTGATATAGCCTCAGATCACCATTTGCTGATCGCCAAAATGAAACTGAAACTCAAGAAGAACTGGACAACGGGACAGACAACATCACACAAGTTTAATACAGCCTTTCTTCGGGATACTGTAAAGCTCAACGAATTCAGGATAGTCCTCAGCAATAGGTTCCAGGCCTTTCAGGATCTACACAGTGGAGAGGACGCAACATTGGAGTACAATAGGAAAGGGATTAAGGAGGCAATCACTTCAACATGTCACGAAGTTCTGGGTCACAAGAGATACCATCAAAAGGAATGGATCTCTGTTGATACTTTTAAAAAAATTGAAGATAGGAGGAACAAGAAAGCAGCAATCAATGTCAGCCGAACAAGAGCGGAGAAAGTTACCGCACAAGCTGCATACACAGAAGCAAACAGGAAAGTGAAGAAGAGCATCAAGGCTGACAAACGAAAATATGTGGAAGATCTAGCAATGACGGCGGAAAAGGCTGCAGGAGACGGAAACTTGAGACAATTGTACGAAACTACAAAGAAGCTCGCCGGGAACTATCGTAAACCAGAACGACCAGTGAAAAGCAAGGAAGGGAAAATAATCAGCAACACTGAACAACAGCGAAATAGGTGGGTGGAGCACTTTAAGGAACTCCTAAATCGACCAGCTCCAATGAACACACCCAACATCGAAGCAGCATCCACGGATCTCCCAATTAATATTGGCGCACCTACGATTGAGGAGATCAGTATGGCCATCAGACAAATCAAGAACGGCAAAGCAGCAGGACCAGACAACATTCCAGCAGAGGCAATGAAAGCAGATGTACAAGCAACTGCGAAAATATTTCACATTCTCTTCAAGAAGATTTGGGATGAGGAACAAGTACCATCAGATTGGACAGAAGGATACCTGATCAAAATACCAAAGAAAGGCGATCTCAGCAAGTGTGAGAACTACAGAGGCATCACTCTTCTTTCAATACCAGGCAAAGTCTTCAACAGGGTATTGTTAAACAGAATGAAGGACTTCGTAGACGCCAAACTTCGAGATCAACTGGACGGATTTCGTAAGGATCGATCATGTACCGACCAAATTGATACATTACGGATCATTGTGGAACAATCAATTGAATGGAACTCACCACTATACATCAACTTCATCGACTACGCGGGAGCATTTGATAGCGTGGACATGAAAACACTGTGGAGGCTTCTTCGACACTACGGTGTGCCTGAGAAAATAGTTAACATCATACGGAATTCTTATGATGGATTCAACTGCAAAATCGTGCACGGAGGTCAGCTGACAAACTCGTTTGGGGTGAAGACCGGTGTCAGGCAAGGTTGCTTACTCTCACCCTTTCTCTTTCTCCTGGTGATCGACTGGATTATGAAAACGTCAACATCTGGAGGGAAGCACGGTATCAACTGGACAGTTAGGACGCAGTTGGACGAACTGGACTTCGCAGATGATCTGGCTCTTCTATCTCACACGCAACAACAAATGCAAGAGAAGACGACGAGTGTAGCAGCAGCCTCTGCAGCAGTAGGTCTCAACATACATAAAGGAAAAAGCAAGATTCTCCGATACAACATAACATGCACAAACCAAATCAATCTTAATGGAGATTCCTTGGAGGATGTTAAAAGCTTTACATATCTGGGCAGCATCAACGACAACAAAGGTGGATCCGATGCAGATGTGAGGGCACGGATTGGCAAAGCAAGGGCTGCATTTCTACAGTCGAAAAATATCTGGAACTCCAAACAAGTTTCAATCAAAACCAAAATCAGGATTTTCAATACAAATGTGAAGACAGTTCTACTGTATGGAGCGGAAACATGGAGAACTACCAAAGCCATTATCCAGAGGATACAAGTATTTATGAACAGTTGTCTACGCAAAATACTTCGTATTCGTTGGCCAGACACCATCAGCAACAACGAACTGTGGGAGAGAACAAGTCAGATTCCAGTGGAGGAGGAAATCAGTAAGAAGCTGTGGAAGTGGATAGGACACACACTACGAAAAGCACCTAACTGCGTCACGAGACAAGCCCTCACATGGAACCCTCAAGGAAAAATGAAAAGAGGAAGGCCAAAGAATACATTACGCCGAGAAATAGAGAAAGATATGAGAGGAATGAACAAACATTGGACAGAACTGGAGAGAGAAGCCCAGGACAGAGTTTGTTGGAGAAAACTGGTGGGCGGCCTATGCTCCATTGGGGGTAACAGGCGTAAGTAAGTAAGTAAGTAATAACGACGAATGTGTAATGAAATTCTTGTTCAGATTCACTCAAAAATAATTTGACAGGCTCTCGCGTAAGGATACCACGTCTTTGGCAATATCAAGGCTAGTATCAAAGGTGTAGCCTGAGGCTCTGAAAATGAGAATTAAAGAAGAAGGGACGAGGAGCAGGAAGGAAAGTAGTCTTGTTTAAGGCCAATTCATTACTCAACATATAATGCTTTTGCGTAAAACAAAGTTGCGAATAATCAGATCCTTCTTTTGTTGTATTAGGACACTCACTGTACACCCTCATTTATGCAGGTTAATGAATTGGTTACATCCTGCCGTTTGTCGTGAGGAGCCGTAAACAAACAGACATTGGTAGATTGAGGTTTTTCCCCACCCTCATGAATGCTGGTCAGTCTATCCACCATCTTTGATATTATTCACCCCAGAGATAGATAAATACGTACTCACATACGGATTATCATCTGCCTCATGGACAAGCTGTGCAAGATACACCTCTTGAGACCTACTAGTTGTTATGATCGCTATCTCATCAGATCATTAAGTTTATCTATCTCGCTTATTATTTCTGTTTCCTCACCCTAGCTCACACTTGATTCCTTCGGGAGAATCATCAGTACCATTTAATAAACTAAATTATCCATTTATATACTTCTGAAATCTAACTAGCATTAGAATTTTCTCCTTATTGTTCTTCACATTACAACTAATCGATCTTCGGCCTCTTAGTGTGATAGCTGCTGGTATCTGGAAGATTCACTGCATTGAAATAAACTGATTCATTGAAATAACGGTACATAGAACTCACAAGATACTGCCAGCTACCGAGAATCGGATAACCGATGGATTAACCCCCTACCGATTAGCTAATAACAAACACCTGGAACATTACATAAATGAAAAGAGTCGGGCGCAAGGCAATCAAGTGGTTTATCTTAGCTCCTGAAAAGTGTATTGCATAATGGATATTGTTTTGGTATGAATATTACATTCTGTATTGGAGGCGCAAAATGAGAAATTGTTGATTGCTCAAGGTCACGAATCTGTCAGAATCGGGATTTATCTTATAGTTTCATGCTCTATCATTCACGTTTTAAAAATTATATCTCATAATATTATTGAATAAAATCTTCGGGAATAAGCAGCCGACCAAATGTGTCTCGTTGTAATTTAGTTTTCACCATATAATTTACTGAGATGTTGGTTCTCTTACCAACACATTTTGCAAGGCAACTTTACAAACTTGTCGAATAGTAGCATTATTAAAAATGTTATTTTCAAAGATTGATTAATATAATTGGTTCTCCTGAGGAATTCTGATTTCTTTAAAGTCACTTGGTCAATAAGTGTATGTACATGGGATGGCTTTTGAATAATTTCTTGGTTACTTCAGCTTGAGCCAATTTTTTTGAGACCTTAGATATTTTAATTTAGTTTCACTCATCTTTTGTCACTAGTGCTAGGTTATTCTCTACTACTTTGTTGTAAATCATCTATTTGTTTTAGATCATAATATGAAATAATCCATGGTATCTAACTGCACGCGTATAGGGTAACATTATGGTGTCACATATTTTCACCAGTGAGTCAGCTGTATTCCTGAAGCTGTTTTATACTGCCAACTATAGCAAAGACAATGTGACTGCACAAAAAATTTACCAGTAAATAGTATGTTTTATCAATTTATCAAAATCTGCTTTCTTAGTCATGGTTGCAAGCTGTCACAGAAGTATCACCAGACACACTGATCGGAGTGATGAGGTTTTGTTCCTATTTCTAGGCGTTGTGCTGGCCATTGGACGCATACCACATAAGAGATTCTTTATTCTCTGAAACATGGCTTTTATAGGTTAGGAAGTCGATGAATAAAATAGGCCAATTAAATGTGTTACTATTTTGATGTGTATATAACACCGTCCCAATATTTTTCGTTTTATATATCAAGTGTTTCCAAATATATTTTTTCGATTAATTTGAATACTTCTCGCGGAAAGGTTATCTGTTTGTAGTGATTTTCTATTATCTTTGCATCACAGTTATTCAGTAATAAATCAACATCGCAGACTTTTTAGTTGAATAAAATCTTGATTTGGAAGACTGACAATAGTAAACTGTGCAGCATTTTTACAAGTCACTTTGAAGACCTTACGACTTGAATTCACTTGTCATACTCAACATAAATAAAAAAAATGCGAATATCCTACTCAATGGAATATAAATGTAAAGCACAACCACGTAAATCGGGTTCACATAGGTCTTATCACATAATAGTTATGACAAAGTATGTGCGGCCAACCATCACGTTCCTTAGCTTGTTGTGTTTGAAGTGAGAGAGCATCGCGTAACAGTTAGGGATAGTTGAGCTAAAAGGTTAAACCCTATAGTTATTCATTATTAATCTCAGCTTGCTTGAATTTGTATCATGTATGTATGTTTGAATGTATTCGTGTCAACTGTCGCACACCTTAATTTATATGGTAAAAAGTATTTTTATCAATTCTTCATGCATTTTAGGATCGTGCAGTTGATCTTGACGGGGTCGAGGAGTCAACTAACACATTTACAGACCGACAGCTTTATGGTAATTTTCTTTTCACTATGTGACTATTCACTAATCAGAAAACCATGATAGATTTTTACTTGATAGCATTCTAATATTTGTTCTTCGAAAGGGATATACAGCACTATTTAAAGAAGGTAATCATTACGTTTACATTTTAATCATAAATTTTTTCTTTCATAAATGCTGGTTAATGTAACTTGGGTTAGATTACCTTCTGTAAAATATTTATTGCTAATAGTGATGTTAACAATTGATGAACAGTGTGGTTATAAGGGTGTGGCCACTGAGTTATGCAATAAGTAAATTTCTGCTTCATTAGATAATTCCTGATCCACTTAGTCAGCAACATCGCAGAACTTGGCTAGTACGCACATCAGTTCGAGTTGCCATACCAGATTAGTACAGAGATGTAAATGCCAATTCAAATCCCAGGGTGATGAAGGTTACAGTAGTATTGGCGGCTATGGAGATTTAGAGTTCGAAAATATTATTCAAGAAGTACAACCCAGTGAAATAAATCTAAAAATGAGAGAAAAGGTGACGATGGGATTTGAAAGATTAGAATTTGGGAGAACACGAGAATGGATGCATCTCCACTGCTGCGGACGATTTCAAGCCATGCCTTTTAAAGTCTTTAACCATCGGTTACGATTGTTTCGCAGATCTCAACCTGGTAGTTTACACCTAACAATATGGCTCAGCCCACTTGTCAGTGACTTCATGTATTTGTGCCATGTTTTGGTTTTTCCATCCCTACATCACAAAATAGCTGGTCGAGGTAGTTGGTGGTTAGGCATATCTAACACATGCGCCGACCATCGCAACTGATGAATTTTCACTACTTCATCTACTGATCTGCCATCCTTACCTAGTACCGTTTTCATAACATCAGCATTGTTTTATCGGTGGTTTCAGGATATACGAGCAATGCTCCAAAGACACTGATGATCGAAAACCAGTAACCTACGAATATCTTTTATTCTTACTGGCAATGTTCCGCATCTATATAGTATGACGCGGCGAAATTATGTAAAGTAGACTCGTCCTTCGGTTAGCAAACGGATATCTGGCCGATGCCATAAGTGACGCAAGTCGGCAAAATCCAATCGAGCCTTCTGTATCCGTGCTGAGATTTCGTCAGTCACCAGGCTATCAGTACTGATGAGAATCTTCAGATAAGTGAAGCGGTCAACACTCTCTAATACTTCACTCCCTCTCACTAGTTCAGGTGCCGACGTAAGCAAATTCTGAAGCAACATTTTTCATTTCCAGGGGTAAAATCGCATCCCGAATATGCTTGCATTGTTGCTTAGGGTGGTCAGACGGCTCTGCGTCTTGTCAGCGTCCACCAAGTAGAACTATGTCTTTGGCGTATTCTAAGTTCACAAGCGAATCTCCCAGCAACAGTTTAACACCTGAAAAATTAGGCGATGAAAGTGTCGTCTCTAAAAGTACGTCAATGACGAATTTAAACAAGAATGGAGAAAACGGACAGCCCTGACAGACACCATTAAAAGTAATCACTCCCGATAACAGTTTGCCATACGTTCTGACTCGACCAGTAGTGTTCTAGTAGAGAGCTCGTGTAAGGTTAATTTACTTCTTTCGTACACCTTTCAGTGATGGATACTGCCAAAGAACCTCGCGATCCACGGAGTCAAACATCTCCTTCAGGTCCAGAAATACTATTTCCCGTAAGACGTCCCAACTTGTGTCCATGTTCCAGGACCTAGTGTAGTTTGAATATCTGGTCTGTACAGTCACGTCCAGGTAGGGAACGACTCTGCCTTTCTCCAGTCTGCTCTTCACGAACTCTTGTTAGGCGTCGAAATATTATCGAGGCTAACATTTTCGAGACTATGTTAATTAAACTGATCCTTTTGTGATTGTCACTAGAGCAGTTTTGTCCTTTCTTATAGACTTGGACTATCAACGATTGAAACCAGTCAGATGGGATTACGCTTAGTTCCCAAATCTCACTGTTAAAACTAAACCACCATCCTTAAAAATCGCAGGGGTAGGCCTTTTAGACCTTGCTGCTCTTCTTCGCTTCAGATTTCTTATAGCCTTTCCAACTTCATTAGGAGTCGGCGGACTTACATCGATTTGCCATTCAGCTTGACTGAAGACTGAAGCATTTCTGCAGACACTGGTTGTCCGAGGGGAACACCTTACTGCTGTCGCACGTCTATACAGTCCGCAGCACAACACTCTCAGACATTGAGTTGCTACTTTTATTGTTACCGTTCCTCAACCGACCTATCTGGCGTGGTAATACCTAAATAAACATATGTAACAACCTTTATAGCTCGTTTGGGTTATCACGCTAGGCGAATCTGACCACTACATCAGTCAGGTTTGCTTAAATCATTGGTTGATATTCCTGTCTTTACAAAGTTTTTTTTTTAATTGAGAATATGAACTTGGTACTTTTTATACAATTTGTCGGTTCAGTCACATCACTGAATAAGAAAAATCAAAACAAATTTTCAATAAAAAAAATATTAAGCCGTTAAAATCAAAGGTCGTTTGGTGGATTTAAAATGCCTGATAGGAAGTGAAGTATTCGAACGTGTAGACCGCTTCACTTATCATGGGAGTCTCATCAGTGCCGATGGCCTGGTGACTGACGAAATCTCAGCTCGGATACAGAAGTCTGGATTGGCTTTCGCCAACCTGCGTCACTTATAGCGTAGGCCAGATATCCGTTTTCTGACTAAAGGACGAGTGTACTGCGCAGTAGTTCGCTCCGTCTTAATTTATGGCTGTGAAACATGGCCATTAAGAGTAGAAGATATTCGTAGGTTACTGGTTTTCGATCATAGGTGTCTTCGAAGCATTGCTCATATATCGTGGGACACCCGAGTGAGCAACCCTGTTATTAGGACACGGGTGCTAGGTAAGAATGGCAGATCAATAGATGAAGTGCTGAGACTTCATCAGTTGAGGTGGTTGGGACATGTGTTGCGTATGCCTAACCACCGACTGCCTCGTCGAGCTTTGTTTTGTAGTGTAGGAATAGGTTGGAAGAAAGCTAGGGGCGGCCAAACCAAGACATGGCGGAAATCCATGAAATCATTGACGAGTGGACTGAGTCATGTCGGTAATTGTCGACTACCTGGTTGGGGTCCGCGAGTTGATACTAATCGATGGTTAGAGACCTTAAACGACATGGCTCTAAACCGTTTGCAATGGCGCCAGTGCATTTATTCTTTGTGTTCTCTCAAATCCTAATCTTCTGGATTCTTCAACACCTCTAGTTTTGACTTTCTAAACTTTTCTCACTGAATCATACTTCTTGAATAGTATCTTCTAATCCTAACCTCTCCGATTACTTCTAATACCTTTACTACCTCTTCTACTATTGGATTTGAATTGACAATTATATCTCTGTGCTGATATGGTATGGCAACATGAACTGATGTACTTACGTACAAAGTTCTACGTTGCATCTGACTGACTGACTGATTTAAAATATCATTGATGTAATCTGTAATTCACTGCAACTAATGCATGAATGAATAATCATATTTGTTTCGAATTGTTGATAAATCATCTTTTTTTTTTTTTTTAAAAAATTTTTGTTTTATGAATTATTATTTTCCAGTTATTCAACTTTACAATCGTTTACATGTTAAACCACCGTCATTTTGTCTATGGTGTTGTGCAATAGTGTTGTTTGCTAAAAGTTTCAATGAAAATCTTATTAAGAATAATGCTACTTTGACTATTGATAATTATCAAAATCAATTAGAGATTATAATTACAGTGGGAAATCAATTATTTTCCAAAATGAATGATTCAATACAATCATATAAATCATGTATTAACAATTATTTGAAAGAAGCTAAACGTATTGTAAGTTTTTTTTATTTACTTGTTATACTTTACTTGTGATACATTAATATCATAATAATGTTCATGTGATGTAAGATTTTGTGTAGTTTCATTCTTCTCATATTGTATTTTGGTTTACAATGTGTTACACTTAGTGTTTTGGTTTGTATTGATTGTGAGTTTCAACATCTGCTTCTCAATCCTTATACAGTTTATAATACGTTTGGGCGCAAGACCAATTAAAAGCGCTTCCACATTTCTAATGGTCATTTGGCTAAGATTAGTTCATGATATAAACTAGGGAAATAATACAGTCTGCGCAAATCATCTACATGATTAAAGTTTTGCATTTAAAGATTTATGTAATGAACTTTATTACGCAGTTGACTGATATAATTTGAACTTTATTGAATTTATGAATCGGTCATTGTTAGAAGACCATTAAAAGAATGGAAGCAGTGAACGACTGTTTCTCCATGGTATGAAACCCATCACCAGTGCGCAGTCACGACCTGAACAAGGGAATGGAACCCAGGAATTTCGGCCTTGCGTCAAAACGCCTAACTTTTAACGGTGTTATTGTCTAACTGTAGTCAATCCAAGGTGTTGCACCACAGCCTCACCCGTTGTCTTCGTGAAGTAACTGCCTACACTGTACAGGGTTAAATTCCATCAATCGCGGCTTTTCACTAGAACTCCGAGAATTTACTCACGAAGCTAGTTATTGGTGAGCACACAATAATCGTTTCATTGTTTCAATAAAACTCAACAATCGCAGTTCAATGTTCAGTGTTCGATGATTGTTAATGCATACTATTGATGAGTCCTATTATTATTAGGATGAAACAGCTGTACACTGCTTCCAGGTTTCTAAAAATGGTCTGACATTGTGTTACGCCTTCACGTAAACACGTCAACTTGATATGCTTGAACCATTGCGAGTTTACCTAGTCAGAAAACGAGAGTGAGGATCGAGGATCCGGCGACACGACATGCTACTCAAATCCGATTATCCCAACCCCCATATTGAGTAAAAATAAGAAGACTTGATATGAAGTAGAACCTGTATTCTACAGGCATCCAGAAAGTAAGAGGTCCGAGTCCAGAAAAGAACCAGGATCCCGGACTAGGTATCTCGGACCGGGTCCTAGTCATAAAATGTTACAAGTAATGCGTATTTATACATTTTGGTCGGATAGGAAACAGCATCGAAGTCTGTGACATTGATAGTTAAGACGACCAATAGGAAGTAACATTTGAAGTGACATTGATAGTTAGGTCAACCAATAAGAAACAACATTGGAGTATGTGACATTGATATCTACTTACTTACTTACTTACGCCTGTTACCCCCAATGGAGCATAGGCCGCCCACCAGTTTTCTCCACCCAACTCTGTCCTGGGCTTCCCTCTCCAGTTCTGTCCAATTTTTGTTCATTCCTCTCATATCTTTCTCTATTTCTCGGCGTAATGTATTCTTTGGCCTTCCTCTTTTCCTTTTGCCTTGAGG